TCGTCCCTCGGAGCCCGGAGAACCTGTGCGTGGCTCAAAGGGCAAAATGGCTTTTTCATTAAGAAGGGCCTTTAGGAAGATAAAGCTCCACGTGGACTCCCGACGAGGAGAAACATCCGTCCAGGCACATGTTACAACGTGCCCCAGTTAGCCTCGATGTTTTAAAGCGGAACGCGGCCAGTTACATAAAGAGCCCTCTCTCTTTCGCCGTCTTCGTTATGGAAACTTACAAGGAGGGGAAGGATGACGGGAGGTTGAAAAAGCCCATCTACTTTACATATTCATCAGGTGGGCTGCTTTACTGACCACCTCCCATCCCCGCTGGGGTTCCCGCCCCTCTACCTTCGTCCAGGTGTCCCCCACCTCCGCCTGGGCCACCCTTCCCTCTCCTCCTGGTTTCTAACCTGCACACCATCTCCTTCCCTAACCCTCATGTTACTCTCCTTAGGGATCCTCCTCCAGTGTCCTTCAGGGCGTCACAACACCTTGCCTAGAGTGGACAGAGTTTGACCAAGTGACCTCTTAAATAACTGAACATCAAGAGCCGTAGCTAATATCTACCGTGCCATTTTTATGACCTTGCGAACCATGTCACACAGCTATTTAATCTGTCCATGCGGCTACTTTAAAGACAGGTCCTACTGCTCTCCTTGTTTTATAGAGGAGGAGACCGAGGCCAATGAGGAAACTCACTTTATGCTGTTTGACAAAAGCCAGGAAAAGGGATAGGAAAGGGAGGGCCACCCCTGCAGACCGCCGGCCCTGCCGTTGCTAGTAGTGGCTGCTCTCATTCCCTCTGGGGCTCTTTCCTCTAGACTGACACTCACCCGTCCCTGGCTTCTCTGTGAAAGTTCCTGCGTGTGGTGACCCTGGAGCCTTCCTCAGCCCCAGCAAAGGGGCAGGTCTTCTCCGAGCGCAAATTTCAGATGTATTTCAAGAGAACAGAAGCATCTCCTAGCTGCTCATTTGCTTCCGAAACCACTTAACAGCTTCTTGCCTTTTAGATCCTGGGTCAGCTGCTACTTCTGATGAGGCTTCAGCTCCCGGCTGCTCGAGGTGCCTGCACTTGGTGTGCGGGCAGGCGTGTGGCTCCTGTGGACAGCTTTCCACCCGCTTTGGTAGAGCGCTTCTAAGGGAGGGTTCTGAATGACAGGGGCACTCCCGCTGGAGGAAGCAAAGCCGCGGCAGTGACTTCTTTTGGGAGCTGCTTTTTTGCTCTTTTAAAACTTTAAACATTTCCAAATGGCTTTGTCATTTTCAAAGCGTTCTGAGCGTGTGAAGGGACTAAATGGCAAAGGGTATAATTATGAGTCGAGATAGATTTTTAACACCTTTTTTTTTTTTTTTTTCTTCTCAGTTTCAAAAGGCGTGGGCGGTTTAAGAATGCGAGGCTCCATTTCACACAGCGGGTATTAAGGTCTGACTCTCCCACACCCAGCAGACCACCTAAGAAAAGTAGAGTTTCCTTGTGGGACAGGGGGAGTCAGATTTGCTAAGACACCCTGCAATGGATTGAATTGTGTTTGCCCCTAAATTTACATCTCGAAGTTCTAAATTCCAGGGCTTCAGAATGTGACCACATGTAGAGATTGGGTCATTACAGAGGTAATGAAGTCTCAATGAGGTGATTAGGGTGGGTTGTGACAGAATATGACCAGTGTCCTTATAAGAAGAGGAGATCGGGTCACAGAAATGCACAGAGGGAAGACCAGGCAGTGACAGGGAGAGAAGACTGTCACCTTCAAGCCAAGGAGAGAGGCCTCAGAAGAAGCCAGCGCTGCTGACCCCTCGAAGCCCTTGAGATAATAAAGTTGCGAAGGACTCTCAATGCGTCCAGCCTCCATAATCATGAGACAATCCATTTCCATCATCCAAGCCACCCAGACCGTGGGACTTTTTCATGGCGGCCCAAGAAAAATAATATGGATTTCACACTGTGTCCGATACCTGGATTAGCCTACGCTCTTTCCATGACCTTAAATATTCAGTGGAGCCAGAAGGAGCATCTTCACAAATATTTTTCTGGAAACAGCGGCAAACTGGCGCTCACCGAGACGCCCACTTCACACGCTGGGCCGCGAACGTGTGTCTTCTGTAATTCCCTTTGAAAGAGGCCTCTGAGAGCAGGCGGCGCGAAGCGGCAGCCTCGCTGAGATTTCTACCTGTGGTTCTAGGAACTCCGAGGCATATTAGCATTCAGGCTTCGCACAGACCACTAAGCCACTTCTAAGAGCAAGGCTACCTGAGGCGTTTTGCAAAACTCCGTCTGCGCCCCTGCTTTCCCCCTCCACGCCCACCGCAGCTCTTTGGGGGTGACATGCTGCATGCAGCTCGCGGCGGGACCCGAGGCCGGGCTCTGCGAGAATTTCGTGACGCGAAGCCTGGGTGACGATCCCAGGGAATTTTCATCCCGTCTCGTCCTCCTGCCTCAGCGAACGAAGCGAGAGCTCGGTGCGGTGGGGCAGGACAGAGATGGCATTCTCTGTGGTAGACCACACGCGTTTTGCATGCCAGCCTCGCAGACTCTCACTTGCCTCGCTCACAGAAGGCTCCAGATCGATTGCCCCGTGAAACGTTTGAATGGTGGGTTGGGTCCCACAGCTCTCTTTCCCCCCAGTTTCCCCATGGGTATCTCGCCCAGAGTGGATTTCCTTCTGTGAGAACTGCATGGACTGATAAAGCACCATCCCAGGCCGAAGAAAACAAGACATTTTCCCCTCTAGCTGCGGCTGGGGATGGAGCACATGCTATGGATTACAGGCAGCAAGAAATGACCACAGCCGCGAGCGCGGCTGGTGGCCGGGCCACGGAAGCGGAGCGAGAACTCGGAGAGAGAACGGTGTGCTGGAGAGGATGCTGACCGCCCAGCATCAGGCGCCGAGGCCATGTCCCAGATGGTACCCAAAGCAATGACATCTTGCCACCCCTCCGGCCCCAGAAAGCGGTGCTAAGGTTTCTCTTTGGATCTCTGAAATGAAATCTCAAGATGATATCATTGTGTTAGAGATTATGAAAGGCCCTGAGTTTCTTTTACCGAGAGGGAGGGATGAAAAGACCTTTCTGCACCAGTCCTTCTGAGTCTGGGTTGGGGTCTTGAGCCCTTTGCCCACTGCTGCCTGGAACACTAGCTGCTCCTAGTCCCCAGCCTGGGGCGGCAGGGTGACCGTCCACTGGGCGCGGGAGCTGTGGGGCTGTGTTAGGGGCCAGGGTCCTTGTCTTTCCCCGTGTCTGTGCAGGCCATCAGGCCTCCCATTATCTTTGCTGGCTGACCGGTAAGGACAGAAGGCAGGCCAGCACCACACAGCAAAATCCAATCTATTGCCCGGTGAAATGCTTTGAAATTTCCTGACTCTGTCTTCCTGAGTTGATAGCATAGGAAACAATAATTGTTGGGGGGAGGGGAGGGTGTCGAAAGCAAGTAAAGGCAGGAAGATCTCTTTTCTGTTATTTTACACATATTGCTTCCTTCGCTTGTGAGTGGCCCGGAGGAAACACCGAGAGGGAGCCGATCGCAGCGCCTCGCCACCGGCCAGCGCCTCTGCTGAGCCCAGCGCTGCAGCGGGTGCGTGACTCACACGGAGCATGATTCAACGTCACCGAAAGTTCCTCAGCTGCCCGTGAAAGAAGCGCTCGAAAACCCTTTAATTTGAAGCTTTGAATCGGGTAATGACTTGCTTTCTTCCCCTTCTCCTCAACTCCTCCCCCCACACCCGAACGCACACACGCACACACACACACACACACACACACACACACACACGCATCTTTGTCAAGTGTTTAAATTTCAGGGACCCAGCAATACAGCGACTCTGTGGCATTCACGATAGCATTTGTTGTGACAAAGTGGCTGGCAGCCCTCTGCATTCTCCTGCTCACTTGGCTGTATGAATCAGTAATGAGTCACAGAGACTATTTGGGTGCGTGCAAGAGTTCGTAGCCAGCAGATTCATTATTCCCCCGACCCACCGCACTCCGTCCCGGCTCTGCCAAACCAGCCACGCTCCACAGGCGACAGCCGAAGTGCATGCCCGGACGCCGTGCAACACCTCCCTGACATCTTCGTTATTTTTGTTGTTTTAAGCACAGCCTTCTTTTCCCACCAAGATACACAGAAGGAGCATGCACACACACACACACACACACACACTTTCACACTCACGCTCACCTCTGCAGCTTTGCACATTTCAAGAGGCTGGTTGCAAAAATGCAGACACGTTTTCCACACTAGCTGCTCTCTCAGGAATCCTGCAATCTAATGGCTTAAGTTGAGACAACGTATGACTTAGGAAACTTCTTTATTCCTCTTTGTGACAGAGACCCCTCCCTTTCTCTTGAAAGATGCCGGCTGCCTCTTTCCACTGAGACCACAAGGAACAACACAACACAACCTCATCCCGGTATTTTCGACCTAGACAAATCTGCCCGGCTCCTGCATTCTCCGCCTCTTCGGGACAACCGGGTGGCCACTTTGTCCCTGAAGTCCCATGCCATGAAGTCCAATGCCCATCTGTGAGCCTACCTCCGCCTCCGCCTCCGCCCCACGCAGGCACAGCCCTCCTGGCCGGCTGTGCATGCGCCTCTAAACCCCGGGGCAGGCTGGAGTGTGGCTCAGACAGCACGCTGAATTCAGGAGAACTCAGCTGCTGTCATTCCGGGCAAGGGACAGCAAAATAAAACCCCGAGAGCTACATGAAAGCTTTATAATCTCCGGGACTTTAATCAGGAGCAGCCAAACTTACTTGTACTTGACAAAGTTTTCACGCACCGACTGAACACTTCGACAGCTTAACTAAGTATTTATTAAAACATTTCTGAAGAGCTGCCATCTGATGAATAAGTAATCTAATAGCTTTGTAACCATACGCCCGAGTTTGAATGCCTCCCACCACACAGACGGGGGGGATCGGCCGGGTCCATCTGCACCGAGGTACAACAGGCTGCCATTTCGTTATCTGCAAAGCCGAGCTAAAGTAGATATTAAAAGACCAGCGTGTACTCACCTCTCATGAAGCACTGTGGGTATGAAGGAAATGACTCAAATATGCTGTCTGAAGCCATCGCTTCCTCCTGAAAAATGCACCCTCTTCTGAAGGCTGGGGATTCGATGATTTCTTTTACCTTAGGAATGAAAACCAAGAAAGGTCACTGTTTTAACCTCACCCTTAGCCATGGTTCCCGACAACTCTCCCCTCCTTCCTCTGCCTTTGGTACCTCTGGGGCTCCCTGAGCCCTATGAAAGATGTACCTTTGCGAAAACAAATATTCAAATTGTTAAAGATTAAAAAAAAAAAAAAAAAGCGGTGTCTTGGCTGCGGGTTGATGATGCTCACCACTCTGTGAAACCCTGTGGTTTGCAGCCAGTGTGATTCGTCCTGCTGCTGACCACTGTGTCGAGCTTAGACTCCTGACACTGCCAGCCTCCCCAACTTGTGGTTCTGTGGTTGTTTATGAGGCCCAAAGAAGTTTTCACACAACCCAAATTACAAATTTAACTGTTCCCCTTTCCACAACTCCTCTTAATTGGTTCTTGCCAATCATGTGACCTCCATGATGTCAATTTTTTTTTTTTTTTTTTTTTTTTACTTTCTGAGCAAGGCCCGTCTTCCCTCCACCTGCCTCCCCCAGGCTGTGCAAGAAAATAGCCCAGTAGACATTGCAAGAGAGCCACTGCAGAAAAAAGTGACTCAGTCTCTTATTATACCAGTGGTCTTTGCCGATTTAGTACGACTCGGGTCCTGCTGTTGTTATTTGTGGTTTTTGGAACTACCGATTATTTTGATTAAGATTTCATTGCTGCTTATTCAATAGTAATTCTACCCTGGCATCAGGCTGCTGCTCAGACAGGCTGTGGATCCCATCTTTTGAGGTGCTGGGCATCAGCTCTGGAGAATTCAGCTCCTGGGAAAGATGGTCACGACGTAAATGAAACTACAGAAGGAAGAAAAGAAAGAAAAGGAAACATTCGCATGGGAGTCTGACCCCTGAAAGGGGCTACAACTTATGATATTCTAAAGCCTGAAGAAGAACAGCATTTTAATTTTGTGATGAAAAGACTATTTTAATAAACCCAAAATATATAGTTTTATTCCTCCTAAATGGATGTCTTCGTAGTAGAGAGATAAAATCATAGCGTTGTCTCTGTCTCTCTCTGTCTCTGTCTCTGTCTCGCTCTCTCTCTCTTTCTCTCTCTTCTTCTCTCTCTCTCTCACACACACACACATGCACACACACACGCATACACGCATACACGCATTAGGAAGCCAAAAGAAAAGAAAGAAAAGAGATTTGGTATTTTGGGTGGGAGCAGTGGCTACTTTGCAACTACGGACTTGTTGTTTTCATCTGTGAAAGTTCGCTGCCCTGCCTTTCTCTAGATCAATTTGAATCGATAGGCTAAGCCACACTTGTAGGTAAAACTCAGCCCAGCACCCTCGTAACCAAACCCTGAGTGCGTTACGATGACGAATGTGCAGCGGACGGAGGATCCAGGGCAAGCGTCTTCTCGCGGGCCTGGCTACAGGACATCACATAGCTTCTCCTCTGCTTTAGGGAGGAGACACGCCTGTTTGGAGATGCTAAACAATGGGAGACTTTTGCACGTGGGCAAGCCGTTCTGGGCGCGCATCTTCCTTTGTTCCTGCCAGTTGGTTCTACCTGCTAACGAATAAAACATCGTTCCTGCTAACATTCCAAGATCAAGTAAGACTCTCCTTTGCTAATTAATCACTTTATTTTGCTGTGCCTTCTTCCACAGCCCTCTGGACACAGGAAGTTTCAGCGCACACGCTCGAGAAAACCCACGCAGCGAGGCAGTCTAAACGCCGGCCCGGTCGCAAGCTTGTCCCCGCTGACCGGCAAAGGCACTGCGGAAAGTCCGTATTGTCGGAATAATCCTCCGTTTGTCTCCTCGTCCTCTCCACTTTGCCCACGCCCACACCGACACCATGTTCAAGGGCAAACGGCGCGACTCCTTTAGAAGAATAAACGTGATTTTTACTTACTCCTGTTTTGACTAAAGCAGGAATTGAAACTCAAGAGTCTGCTTTCTCCCAGACTTGTGCAAAGTTAGCTTGCCAAACGTCGACCTTATTAATACTTACAAGAATGATAATGTGCATATTCATTTATATGAAGTCTGTCAATATCCAAACATCATGCATGTTTCGCGTCGTTCTCAATGCAAACCCCTTGTTAAGATACTTCCCATTACGATCCTGTGCTTCCCGAGGGAGTCAAGTCTGGGTTCAACCCCACAGTAGGTCCCTTCTTCTCTCCTACACTTGCTATTCCCTGGAAGGTCCCGAGAGCTGAATGCTGTAACGTGAAGCTGCCACCTCACAGTTGGCTCAGACTTAATAATGACTTGGAAATTCAAGTGGCGACGCAGATAAACCCTTTCGATGTTTCATGTTTGAAACTCCCGGATGCTTTCAGCCTTAGGTGTCCAGATGCTTGTGGGGAGGGTTTGGATGTGTCAGCTAACTGTCCGGGTTCTCGGCTTTTCTCTGTGGGCCTAGCCAGAGTCGAATACATTCTCTTTC